CTCCACAAGTTGCAGAGACTTGTTTGTGTTCTAAGTTCTACACTCAACAACAGCACGTTAAAAATTAATGTAAATTTTGGAAAGATAACTAAAGCAGCTTGTTGAATGTATAGTTTGGTTGTGTTGACGCCTCCTATCTATCACTATCTCTCGCTCTATCACTCGCAAACCTCACTATCACTCGCTATCACTAAACCTCACTATCACTCGCTAACTTGAGAGTGAAGTTGACCAAGATTATGCCATACTGTCTTTACCGGCTGTAACGAAGCTGTACTTTCGAAGTGACGTACTGTACTGTGCTGTACTGTAACGAAGCTATAACGAAGCTGTACTATATCCGCTGTACTTTCGTTGGGAATATTACTATATCGTCGGAAATGATATAGGTATATCAGTGTACTATACCGTCGGAAATGCATTATGCATGGCGAGGTTAGGTCATAAGATTCGCGAAGCTGTAGCCGTGTAACCAATTATTGATTAACAACTTAAGGGAGTCGATTTTTTTTAAGAAAATCATTTGCAAAAAAAAAAAAATTATCCGTATTTTGAAACCTTCATTTAGGTCAGTTGGGGCAAATGCTCTTCAATTACTGTTGGAATTCTTCAATTCTTCAGAATTGAAGAATTCTTTAATTCTTCAATATTTTTTACCACTCTCTGTCTCATTTTATTTCGTTGTGGCCAGAGGCTTACCGAGATTATACCCACATACGGCATCACACTTCTCTGTCCAACTACTTGGACGGTAGAGCGACGGTCTCGCTTCATGCAGGTCGACGTTCAATCCCAGACCGTCCATAAGGGGTTGGGCACCATTTTTCCCCCTCAGTCTCATCTCAAATCCATATCCTGACCCCTTCCCAGTGCTATATAGTCACCATTTTTCCCCCTCAGTCTCATCTCAAATCCATATCCTGACCCCTTCCCAGTGCTATATAGTCATAATGGCTCGGTACTTCCCATGTTACTTCCCTTCTCTTCTCTGTCACTGTTTAAGTAGCTCTCAGAATCCATGAAAAACCCATTCCAGACGTAGGCTTTTCTTTGTAAAATAATTTATGCTAACTTGGATTCAATTTTATATAGTCGCCTTTTGTTTCATTTGACCTTGAATGTGTTCTTGTTTGTATTCGAAGTTTGTTTTCACCTGTCTCCCAAGTGACAGGTAAACACCTGTCACTTGGGAGACAGGTGTTTACCAACATTTAATATACAGCCTTATTTCAAGACGTAAATGTTGATGCACATATAGTCGAATAATCGTCTACTCTTAACTAAATATAATCTTAACCTACTGATGGGAGCCGGTCGGCCGAGCGGACAGCACGCTGGACTTGTGATCCTGTGGTCCTGGGTTCGATCCCAGGCGCCGGAGAGAAACAATGGGCAGAGCTTCTTTCGCCCTATGCCCCTGTTACCTAGCAGTAAAATAGGTACCTGGGTGTTAGTCAGCTGTCACGGGCTGCTTCCTGGGGGTGGAGGCCTGATCGAGGACCGGGCCGCGGGGACACTAAAGCCCGGAAATCATCTCAAGATAACCTCAAGATGACCTTAACACAACAATGAAGAGCAGCAACTCTCAGCTAACAATCTGTGTAACACTCAATACACATTTAAACTTTTCTAGCAAGTCATTAATGCTGATCAATAAACTCTCCAATCACTTTTTGAAACCTTTAAAACACAATATTCATTATCACTTAAAAAATTTGATATAGTAATCACCTTTTCCATATTATTATATATCATTATATATCATTAACATATTCCTTGGTAATATTATTTGAAAATTTAATACGCTGAGGAGAATAACCACACAACACCCGACCCCCTTATTAGCTCTTAATGATTCAACATTCTTGATTACAACTAAGAATTGAATAATTACTCCTAAATTGCTCCTTCCCCACTGACCAACCACCCCACCACCACCACCACGAGGCCCGATTCACTGGCTTTAATATAGAACCTGCGCTACAATGCAACCCTCAGGCACTGGGCATTACATTAGCATTCATTTTCAATTTCCGACGTAGGTGCGATTGCATTCAGCAAGAATGGCCAGCAACTCATGTTTATATTCATTAAGTAACTCGCAGCCCCACACACAGAGTAATATGGCGGTCACTCCTCTAATGGCCCACTATCTCGTGGCTACAGTGATTTGATCAGAAATGAAAATAATATTGGTGATAGTGAAGGAATGGTGATTATTTAATGGTGATATATATGGTTTTGATTGAGATCATAATGTTCATGATGACTGTGGTTTGAATCCTGTGTTTATGTCGTGTTAGTATGTTTGGGTTACTGGGATGCTAGGAAGCTTTGGTTAGTGGGATGCTAAGAAGCTTTGGTTAGTGTGACGCTAGGAAGGTTTGGTTAGTGGGATGCATGCGGAGGGTAAGAGGCGTGGGGGAATAAAGATGGGAGATATGAAAGAAATGGGAGACATTGCCGGATACGAATGGGGAAGAAGGGGGGGGGGGGGTAGAACAAGGCCACCTGACCAAGATACCCGGTAAAGAATAACACTATATTCTTTTCTTATGGTAATATATTACCAGATAAACTCATATATACACACAAAAAAGTAAAAGGTCTAAATATCAATAAAATACATCAAATATAATATTAAGTAAAATATCACGGTGATAGAATAATACCACCACTCAATGTGCAATTACTCAACCAATTGGTCTGCAAGACAGAGCGACGGTCTTGCTTCATGCAGGTCGGCGTTCAATCCCCGACCGTCCACAAGTGGTTGGGCACCATTCCTTCCCTCCCCCGTCCCATCCCAAATCCTTATCCTGACCCCTTCCAAGTGTTAGTCTCAGGGGTAAAGCACCAAGCCATTATAGTTCCCTTCCCTTCAATGAGATTATGATTTGGAAGAGATTAGATAATCGGAATATTAGTGATGGCTCAAGCTATTTCAGGTTAAGACTAAGAATTAAAAAGTCACATCTGTACATATGTAGATTATTTAACATATTTCGAAGAGGGCCTTTTTAAATAGGTTTATATCTCCTCTTAATCATTAAAAAGAGTTGGTTATGTACATTATTGCACGTGAGCAGAGTCGACTTCACTGGGATGATCCTCTTTTATGTAATAACCAAGTCTTTTTTTTTATTCCACTAGGGGAAAAGAGGTAATGTTTGTCTGACTAACATTTACGCAGGCAAGAGAACTTTTTTCTCGGCTCTTCTCTCGCTTACTGCCGCTCTATTCGTATTTATTAGCCCCCTATATCATAAATATATTGTCCCTTTTTATCTCCCTTTCCCCCTCTCTATTTCGTGAATGGGGGAAGAGAGAAAGAAAAGTGTTAAGTGATATTTGTTTCCGTTGCAATCAATATGCGTGATAAGTCAGGATCACACACACACACACACACACACACACACACACACACACACACACACACACCCTCTGTTAACAATTAGGTGAGTACACGGCGGGACCAAAGAGCCAAAGCTCAACCCCCGCAAGCACAAATAGTTGAGAACACACACGCACGCGCGGCCTAGTGGACAGCGATCAGGAGTCGTAGTCCTAAGGGCCCGGACACGATTCACAACCGAGGCAGACAAAAAAATAGTCAGAGTTTGTTTCATTTGTTGTACTATTTACCTAGCAGTAACCAGGTACTGGGAAATAAGACAGCTACTACGAACTGCATCCTTCAGAGGGAATATCCTGTGTGTGTGTGTGTGTGTGTGTGTGTGTGTGTGTGTGTGTGTGTGTGTGTGTGTGTGTGTGTGTGTGTGTGTGTGTGTGTGTATGTGTGTGTGTGTGTATGTGGGTTAGAGAGAAATATATGTAGTAGATATTGCAGAGGAAAATAGATCGAGAGTCAGCACATTGGATAACCTATGATTAGAAAGGCTAACCATAGGTTAGATAAATCACATAAAATGTGATTTATACATTCTCAAGACAAACGACTTGAGAATGGTCCAGGACGGACCGAAACGTCGTCGTCCCTTCACCTTCTAGTATGTGGTCTGCTCAACAGAATAACATTGTTACCTATCCTACTGTAAAGGATATATATTACACGAGTCAAAGTCCTCAAGATGACGCAGATGTGTCTATTAGTAATCTCACAAGAAATCTTAATAGGAGGGGAGCAAAATGACCCACTAAGCTGTTGTGTTGCGCGCCACCTCCACTGCCGTGTAATTTGCCCATTATAAATTTCAGCATAAAAATAGTGATGAAGTGTGAGACGTGAGCTGATGGCCCCGACAACTTCAGCACCGAGATCAATGTCTTGATTTGCAGGACAAAGCAACGCGACTGAAGGCTATTTACATGTGGACATTTGTCTCTACATCACGGAATTTGTGAGTGAAAAAACACACGTATATATATACGTTTACGGGAACGTGAATTCTTAATACAAACGTAGAAAAACAATCATGACCACGACCTTCAATACAGGTCTTAGTACGACAAATACACACACTTGAAAATACACAGAACATCGGCAAACACAATTACTCAAGAGAATTTCACTGTTGTATTTGTGTGTGTGTGTAATTACCTAAGTGTAATTACCTAAGTGTAGTTATAGGATGAGAGCTACGCTCGTGGTGTCCCGTCTTCCCAGCACTCTTTGTCATATAACGCTTTGAAACTACGTGTGTGTGTGTGTGTGTGTGTGTGTGTGTGTGTGTGTGTGTGTGTGTGTGTGTGTGTGTGTGTGTGTGTGTGTATTTATTTATTCATATATATTTATCATTATGACTATAACCCTTCAGAAGATTCGAACCCAGGCGACCAGGGGGTCTCCCCTAACCCCCTGGATTAGAATCCTTTCTGGAGGTCAAAGGTAAAATAGGCTCTTGCTGGCAGGTATGGCAGAGGGTCGTTAGTTCATTAGAGGTGACAACGTAGGTGTGGGGGAAGAGCAGCAACATGTAGGGATGTCCCCAGGGGCCACTCTATATAAGCCATCCACTTGCAGGCCAGGAGTCAGTGTGTCTCTAGCCCGAGAGGCGAGAGGGTGCCAGTGTGCGGTGCTGCTGCTGGTGGGTAGAGTGAGCGTGTGCGCGCGCGTCAATCGCCTCTCTGCATCCTATCAAACTTTTGGGAAACGGCTTCTAAATGGCCGTCCCTATACTGCAGAATATATGTTTGTTCCACTCGTAATTAGAACTCAAAAGTGACCATCTTTCAGAGAAATATCGTGTGTTGAACACACACATGTTCAGTGCTACTATGCATGTGACATAACATTTTCTCGTACAGTCAAAAAAATTTCGGAATGCAGCTGATTACAGTCTGAAAATTGGCGTGAAAGAAGACAATAATTACTCCTCATTCCTTATGGAAAAGTAAGTAAACAAATCATACAAATACTATAGTCCAATATTGCATTATTATTTGTGTTTGAGATAGCTTAAATCAGTAATATATATATATATATATATATATATATATATATATATATATATATATATATATATATATATATATATATATATATATATATTACTGATTTTCTGATATATATATTACTGATATATATCTCAATTTTCCGTATTACAGAAAACTATACTAGGAGAAAAAATAAAAAATAAAGAGGAAAACGAAACTAAAACTAAAGAACCGGAGAAGAGAGAGGGAAGGAGATGGGGAGAAAAATAAAGAGACAAGGAGATAAGAGAGGTAGATACAGATAGCATAGGTAGATAGCAACACGAAATAACGCTGTTCAAGGACTCTTGATACGGTACAAAACAGCAGTGTACCGTGTTGTAACTTCAGAGCCAGTTCCATGTAACCGGTGGCACTATGTACAGTGCCACCAAGCAGTGTGTGAAAAGGGTGTGTGTGTGGCACTGTAAAGAGAGGTTACAGTGTTTAGTGCTGAGTGCTTCAGCAAAGGTGCAGCACTGTGCTGTAGTAAAGACACTTTATTTTGCAGGGATATTCCCGCGAGGGCCTTAAGCCTCTGGCTGGCCCTAAGTGTTAACCATTCCTCGTGTTTGTGTTACTTAAGCTGGGAATAAGTAATTATAACTCATGTGTTCCCTTTAATAAGATTATGTCCAAAGTTTTTAACACCTGCTCTGTTGAATCTCAGTTGAAAATCTTATTGTAGTTGTAACTGTGCACTGTGTTAGATAATGTTCCAGTGGTCTGTTGTGGTTGTAACTGTGAACTGTTTCAGATAATGTTCCAGTGGCCTGTTGTGGTTGTAACTGTGCACTGTGTTAGATAATGTTCCAGTGGTCTGTTGTGGTTGTAACTGTGCACTGTGTTAGATAATGTTCCAGTGGTCTGTTGTGGTTGTAACTGTGCACTGTGTTAGATAATGTTCCAGTGGCCTGTTGTGGTTGTAACTGTGCACTGTGTTAGATAATGTTCCAGTGGTCTGTTGTGGTTGTAACTGTGCACTGTGTTAGATAATGTTCCAGTGGTCTGTTGTGGTTGTAACTGTGCACTGTGTCAGATAATGTTCCAGTGGTCTGTTGTGGTTGTAACTGTGCACTGTGTCAGATAATGTTCCAGTGGCCTGTTGTGGTTGTAACTGTGCACTGTGTTAGATAATGTTCCAGTGGTCTGTTGTGGTTGTAACTGTGCACTGTGTTAGATAAATGTTCCAGTGGTCTGTTGTGGTTGTAACTGTGCACTGTGTTAGATAATGTTCCAGTGGTCTGTTGTGGTTTTAACTGTGCACTGTGTTAGATCATGTTCCAGTGGTCTGTTGTGGTTGTAACTGTGCACTGTGTTAGATAATGTTCCAGTGGTCTGTTGTGGTTGTAACTGTGCACTGTGTTAGATAAATGTTCCAGTGGTCTGTTGTGGTTGTAACTGTGCACTGTGTTAGATCATGTTCCAGTGGTCTGTTGTGGTTGTAACTGTGCACTGTGTTAGATAATGTTCCAGTGGTCTGTCGGGCATGTCTTCACAGTGCTGACATTTCCTCTCATCTTCTGCACCTAAGGGCTGAGTGCTGTATATATATAGATTTATACAGCCGAGGTGGTGTATATTAAGCCGAGTGCTGTAGCACGGTGCTACAGTGTACTGTGCCAATTACTCCAAAACAGCAGCAAACACAATGAAATTAGTATAAAAGGGGGGATACAGTCGGTAGACTAAATATCAAAGTTTACGTTTTGGTATAAAAGAGGTTGAGTCCGGTGTGATAAATGCGATCATAGAGGATAAAACTCCATCAGTGTGATGTGATGTCACAGAGCACTCTAAAAAACAATTTCGGAATGCTATTGTGAGACAGAGGCGTATAAAGATCTGCATTAAACGCAATACAGGAGACAGAAAACAAATATATATATATATATATATATATATATATATATATATATATATATATATATATATATATATATATATATATATATATATATATATATATATATATATATATATATATATATATTGCGAGGTTTATATTGTTGAGTAGTGTATATGTTGTGTGTCGCTCTGGTGATGATGGGGTGCAGTGAAGGTGGCACTGACTATCCCAGTTAGGTAGTTACGTTTTGTGTAAGGGCCATTCAGACGACAGGACAACACTCAGGGGATGAATAGTTAACAGTTTCTCATATTGTGAAATAAATATTTCTCAATTAATGTTGGTGTTTTGGGGAGGTAATCCTACACCTTCTCACTTACCTCCTTAAATACTCACTCACACACTCACACACACACACACACACACACACACACACAACCATCACACACCTTTAAAACTTGAAGTATAAGCTATTTGTAGATCATTTAATTACTGGTCTGACAACCATTCAAACCATGACCTGATTCACTTTACACCAGAACCTTATACCATTCATACCATGACACGAGGAACCTTATACCAGAACCCACAACCATTCATACCATGTCCTAGTGCACTCTACACCAGTACCACCTTTCCTACTTCCCTCTCTACAACCCACCAAAGGTTCCAGCTCTCCTCTTAGTATTGTGTTAAGAACACAAACAAAACACTTTAGTTTCCCCTTCTCCACCAGGCAAAAAATATTAATATTGTTGTATCTGTTACTTAAAAGACTCTGTGTATACACTGTAAGAAATGAAGCCATTAAAAGGAGATAAAAAAAATAGGAAGAATCCACTGCTAATTGGCATTCATCAGACGATGTGGCCAGAGTGAGGGAGGGAAGGAATGGTGGAAGAAGAGATAGAAGGAGGAAATGTTAGAGGAGAAGGGGAGAAAGAGTGATTTGGAGGAGTAGGTGATTCTCTACACCTTTGTCAGTGCTCTGTACAACCATTTATCCCCAGTGATTGGTCCCTCGTGGTGGAGACTGCAAGTCTCCACCACGAGGGATTGATTGATTGAGGGATTGATTGATTGATTGATTGAGGGATTGATTGATTGATTGAGACTTGCAGTCTCAATCAGGGGATTGAGACTGCAAGTGATCCCCTGAAAACTGCAATAATTTCCTTGGACATTTCCCCGCGTAGATAAATGCACGAGCCTCGCCGGACAGATATATCAACTTTTTCCGACAGCTGCAAATACATATCATCCACAAAACTGCATCGATTAAGAATCTTACTTGCAATACCTTTCTGTGCGGACGATGAGTCACAATAACGTGGCTGAAGTATGTTGACTAGACCACATACTAGAAGGTGAAGGGACGACGACGTTTCGGTCCGTCCTGGACCATTCTGAAGTCGATTGTGAATGGTCCGACTTCTTATAATCGACTTGAGAATGGTCCAGGACGGACCGAAACGTCGTCGTCCCTTCACCTTCTAGTGTGTGGTCTGGTCAAAATACCTTTCTGTTTCTAATACTACATATCGACCACCATTCAGTTGAACCGAACGTGCCTCAGGCTTCACCACCATCAATAACTGCTCTTCCCCCCCCTAACTACATCACCCTGTGCCTGTGTGTATCAACAAATGTCCCCTCTTCCCCCTCTCTTCTCCTCTCCCTTTCCCCTCTCTCCTCTCCCTTCCCCTCTTCCCTCACTTTCCTGCCCACTGCACGAGCTAAGCTTCGGGATATTCCCACGTATGGAATGATCTTCACAGATGTCTCCATTCATTTCGTCTATCCTGCTCCAGCCACCCATACTGCATCCATACAGCTATCCTCCACCCTTTTAGTAGCATGCATCCATCCATCTTCATTATCCATGGAGGGAAACCTTTAATTTACCTTCCATCCTCTCTACAAGCATCCATCCATTTTCCATCTATGGAAGAATCTATCCATCAACCCCTTCGTCCCTAGTGAAAGCATCTATCCCTCTATCGCTTTCATCCGTGAAAGCACAGGTCTGTCTACCTTCTTCCTTCCCTGGACGAATCCATCTCTCCTTCTCCTTGCCTGGAAGCACCTGCCTGCCATTTCCACAATTGGGCTGGAATCCAGCAATAGCATGAGACACGCGGACCAGCTGATCAGTCAAATGTTGACGGAGCTTCCAGCGAGTTGACGGTCACGGAACAATACAATCAGAGCCGAGGGGGAGGAATACAATTGCTGTCTAACAGGAAAATGCAATCACAGCCGAGTAGAACAATCAAAGTATAGGGCCGAATGGAACGTAACTTTGAAAACCGTGTTGTGTAATACAATCACAGCCGAGTTGAACAATACAGAAGAACTAGTTAAGAGTTTAAATCAATCCAAATATTCTTACGAGAGGTTTCAGGGGGGTTTTGTGATGTTTTGTGATTACTTTTTCTTATGGTTTGTGATCTTAATATCAACGAGAGAATATACAATTTTGTTCGTTACTGATATAATCTATATATTCTATATAGTTCATATTTTATATTAGGTGATGAAGGCTCCAAACGGTTATAGACTTCAAAGTATTCCACGTTTTATATTAGTATGAAACAAGGTCATTTTTTTATCTATTTATACTAAGTGTGCTTACGGCCTGATTTAAAGATGAAACAAAGCTTTAAGACCCGAGAAATATATATTCATCTCGTAAATATAAATTAAAACCAAATTTATATTGTAAATATAAATTTGCAAAATCATTTTATAAAATTTTGATGTTCAGTGGATCAGATTTTTTTGTTACTTTATTCCCTCTCGTGTTCTTGATGGTATCCTCACAATTCATCTAGAGTTCACTAGTGCAGACTACTGATCACACGGCCCTGTATGATTAACCATTCTGTGTGGTGGGGATTAGTAACATCACGTAGCTAGGTTTTTTTGACACTGTACTCGCTTTCATATAGTCAAAGGCAGCTGCACAATTGCAGATGTACTGTAATGTGTAAGAATTTTTTTTTTGGGGAGGAGCCAGGTTGAGAGGTTACGGCTCTCCTGAGAGAGATGGTGGCTGAGTACTCTTGG